GAGAAATTGCTTAAAAACTATAAATAATTATATTAAAAATATTATATATAGTTTTTAAGCAATTTCTCAAGAACTACATATCCAAATTGGCTAAAATTTTAATATATTATAGCCCAATATCACTTCTATCTTCAGTAAAAATTTTATTTAATTTGGTTTGGTATTTGTAGAGAAACTTATAGCTGGAGTTAATATAAATATAGCTATAAAAAATAATTATAAAAATTAGACTATATATATATTATTTGCTTGAATTTGATTGGCTAGTTTAGTATCCAGTGGGGGGAGAGGGGTACCCTCTTAAGAGGTGGAAATCACTTAATAAATGTCTATACCCTTATAGCTATTATAAATATTAATAAATAAGATTAGTCACAGCGAGACCCATCAATATTTAAAAAAAAAATAAAAAAAAAAAATAAAAAATTAGGATTCTGCAGCCTAGTGGTCTAGACACCCAACTCTCTATGAGCAGGTTTCGGATTCAAGTCCTAGTAGATACATTTACCTATGAATATTTAAAAGTATTTGCTATAGGAAGTTCAAGTGAATACAGGTCTGAATTAGAAATTTCCGGAAGGAGATCCATTGTGAAGTAGTTGGCACTATGTATAACAATAGTTATTACAGAAGATTCTATTATACAAAGGTTGTGTATGTAAATCTGTAACTGGCAAGATAGTATCAACAACCTCTAAGATGATATTGGGAATCTTGTTTGGGAGGATGACTGGGCAGTAACCAAAATTGAAAAGTGGTGAGAAATGTGATAAACACAAAGGGACCTGTAGTAAAGAATTGGCCTTACTAGATTTGGCACATATGGAACTCTCTAGCTAATAAGAAGTTGAAGCATAGAGGCGTATATATGTTAATAGACCTAACAGGCTCTGGTTGTACCTATATGCGAGTTTTTAGCATTAAGATGACTTGGGAACACCAATATAAGTATAACCAATATAAGTATATATAGTAGTAACCAGAGGCTACAACTGCTGAGAATCATCATAAAAAGAAATGATGATGCACCTGTTATCTCTGAGCCTCATGATGCTATCCAACTATACTGACTACTGGAAGCATTTGCAAAACATGTCTAGACAGCCTTGTCACCATATTGGAAAATATAGCCGTTAGCATAGCTAATTGGATATATTAAGACCTGGTTTTAAAAGTCGCAAGAAACTAGCTAGTTATGGCAGCATGCAGGCTTGAGATACTTACCTATTTGGGTAGAGGCAGCTGCATGGCTTGAAATACAAACTTCTGGAAAGTATAGCAAGTAAGGATTGAGAGAGAAAATCCCTCTAACAGGAGGTATACCAAACTGAAAGCAATAAGGGCCTGACAGATATTATATAATATCCATTTACTATGATGGTACTCCCTTCCTCTACATAAAACAATTTTGATTGGCTATTTAAATATATATATATAATATATATATATATAGTTTTTAATTAACTCTTTTTGACGATCACTTGGACCAAATTTTCTGATGAAAAGAAAAGCCCTTTTTCAATACTAGAGAATAGTAACCTGTAGTAAGACAAATCAACAAGACAGTTTTTATAAAGGTTAACCTTTTTTATCTCTTGAGGACTCCTTTATATATTTGACATACAAGCTAAAAGCATCTATATACAAGATAACTAGCAGAAGATGGTGCTCTTGTATACAAAATTTTGATGGTTAGGTGGAAGTGATAAAGTCCAAGCTTTTTGTCAACAAAGCTATCGGTTGTAAAACAACTAGGAAATAGTTTCTTTTAAGCTACACTTTTTTTTTTTCTGGCCAAGTATTGCCTACTATTTTTTTTTTCTGCTTCTTTACCTTTCTTCCAAAATTTTTCAACAAAAAGTGGGGATTTGGCTTATTCCCTACAAAAAATCAGCATTGTTTACTTCCCAAATTCAGATAGTCAAGTAGAATACAACTATATGTTTGTTTATAAACAGATATGGCACTACTTTACAGGACTCAGCCCAGAAACTTTAATTATGGCAGCAAAAATAGGTAGCTTAAAATACGGGTCTTTAGATAATAGCAGCACCTGGCTTAAAATATGAATTGGATAGGCAACAGAGCTATCTGAAGTCAGTGGAAAGGTCAAAAAGTAAATTTAATATTAAGGTATAGCTTTACAAGAAGAATATACAAAGGTTGCATTTGTTATATAATTTTTACCAACTTTGCATAGGTTATAATAGTGCTTTTAGGGTCTTAGATTTCTTTTTTTGTTTTTTATTTTCATAATTTGTGTTTATTTCACTAGTTAGAATATGGCAAACTGTGTACAAATTAGATATACCTATTTAAAACTGAAAGCTATCTAATTGATACCTAATTTTTAAATTTGACAGCCTGATTAATACTAATTTATAGCACAAATCGGTATACTATTAGGCTAAATTAGTATCAATCAGTATCAAAATATAAGCTAATAAATATTTTATACTTGTGATAAAACAATGAAATAAAAAATTAAAAGTTTATTTAGTATATTTACAATGAATAAAAATTTAAATTATTTGACGATCACTTGAACCAAATTTTGCCAAAAAAACTTCTCAACAAAAACAGTAAAAAACCGACTAGTCAGAAGTACATAAGATGTGAAAATAGGGACCGTAAGTTAGCACCTGTCATTTAGAGGTAGTTCTCATACACTACCTGCTAACAGTAATAATGCTGCCCGAAACTTCATAGTTTCGGGCTAACCGAAACCAAAACTGGTATTATCAGTTTTGGACATGACCCTTTTGGCCAAAACTTGTCTAAAGACTTGAAACTATACCGAAACTCCAAAACTAATCTACTAATAAATTCTAATTAAATCTCTATACCGATACAGGCTATATTATATAAATTTGTATTAATATAATGTATATATGCTAAATTAAATTTTATTCCAATACATTCACCCATAATAATATAGGAGTCATTTAAAATCCCGAAGAACTAAATCTAGATAATACTAGACCTCTGCACTTAAAATTTTGAAAGAACAATATTCCAACAGCTGATTAACCCAAAAACTAAATCTTAAAAAAAAAACAAATCCCGATTACAGCTGTTTTCATAAATTCTGAGACACCTAAAAGTTTTCTCATTTTCCAAAATTTCTTTAGTTTCGTTCTATGGATCATTTAACTCTTCGGAAAATATATCACTATCTCCAAAATGAAGTTCTGAAAACAATAACGTGATTCTGAAGAGTTAGGTGACTTTTAGGATGAAACCGAAAAGATACGAGAAAATTTTTAGGTGTTTTAGATTTTATGAAAACAGCTGTAATTATAATATCGAAGAATCACTATCTCATAAATACATCATCCCGAATGTAAGAATCCTAACATCTCAAGAATATTATGAATACAAATATTAATATTTATATTGTATCAACTTGAAATTTAGAAATTTCAATACTAAGTTTATGAGATCCGATCAACTCACCGACAATCACTTCGTAGACACCACATTTCACTGACAATTTCTTACCGACAAGTTCATTTCACCAACAGTTATTTCACCGAAGCTCATTTTACAGACAATGTAATTCTAGTCAATATCATTAAAGTTATGTTAGAATTTATAAAAAAAAAATTGTCAGTGAAATAAGCTTCGGTAAAATAGACTGTCGGTAAAATAAGCTTGTTGATTAATAATTGTCTGTGCAATGTAGTGTCTACGAAGTGATTGTCGGTGAAATAATACGGACCACCCACCTACATACATGTCTGTAAAGACATCACATACCTGCTCAGCTATAAAGATCACTCACCAATTCACCCGTAAAGACATTGCCTACCCTTCTATAAAGACATCACCTACCAACTATAAAGACATCACACACCTACCTGTAAAAACACATGCTTATGTCCTGTCTGCTCGCAGAAATACACCTATTTGTTAGGGTTGGAGAAGACCAGATAAGAACTGGTCTTTTTAACCGGTTAAAGGTTCTTCGGTTTTTTCTGTCAGTTTAGACCGGTTAATAATAAATTATTATACCAGGAATGTAGTACAAAGTAATGAAGTGTATGGTTTACAGACAACTATCTGTGTGCGAATTCTTGAATCCTATTGGATAGTATATTCAAATTGTTCATTGGACATTATGTATATGATCACGTATACTGGTTTTGTTTAATGCTATATGAAAGTGATTCATTTTGATAAAATTGTGGCTGTATACTTCTTCTAAATTCTGATACGAGCATTATACCTGTTATACCTTACTACTTTTAATAATCGATTTAAGGATATATTATGATTTGCACTTTATGGATTTTACGTAGATTAGATCTGCTTATGCATGGTCACTGCTATTGAACAGGTTTGTTTATTTAAAAAAGATATAGTACATTATTGAAATATTGAAACTGAAATGGGTATGCTCCCAGAAATAGCAGTTGGGTTTGTGTGCCTTAGCACTGGCCAGTAGTTTCCCGCCGAGTAGTGAATTGACTCAACAAAAAAATTGTTGATTGATGATTGATTAAAAAAAGCTTTTTTTTTGATTGATCAAAAATCGATTATATCAGGAACATAGTACAAAGTGTATGGTTTACAGGCAACTATCTGTGTACAAATTCTTGAATCTTATTGGTTTTGTTTAATGCTATATGAAAGCAATTCGTTTTTATAAAATTGTGACTATATACTTATTCTAAATTCTGGTATACCTGTTATACCTTACTACTTTTGGTAATCGATTCAAGGATATAGTATGATTTGTACTTCATAGATTTTATATAGATTTAGATCTGCTTATACATAATTCCCGCTGTTGAACAGGTTTGTTTATTTAAAAAAGATATAACATATGTACATTGTGAGAGGCAATATCAACCTCTAAGTTCTATTTTTAGCATTTAGATCTATTTTGGGAGTTAAGGGTAGTACAAATTCCTGAAATTCCCAGAATTTCTGGTATTCGGGGAATTCATAGGATTCAGAGAATGATGAGAATTACAAGAATTCATAGAATAGCTAGAATAGCAAGAATAGTTGGAATTCCTAGAATTCCTAAAATTCTGTTATATGTAATGATTAATTATATATAGAAGTAGTTTCTCTCCAAAATAAAGATAACTCACTAGAGTTGACTCAATGAAGAGTCTATTATCTATCCTTAACATTTTATACATTATACACATTCGTTTTTCCAATTCTCGATAATAAACTATCATATAAATCCCATTATCCCGAATTAGAGCCTCGTAACATAGTCTAGAGCTCTATTTGGTCCTAATAACTTGAACCAAGTCTTTCCACACCTCTTTCGTGCCTTCCATCATTAGGTCCAGTAGAGTTTAGTAGTTACAGAGTGTTGATTTGGATTAGTTAGTGTCGATTGATATCCGTGTTGACCATATTTTGAGGTTCTGGATTGGTCCACATCTTTATATTTGGTGGTAACTGTGAGATACCTACTTCCAAACCTGAACCTATATTATTTTTGACCATTTGGAATTGAGATACAAACAAATCCACAAACCCAAACCCGAATTAAAAGAAGGCAAAGATGCAAAGAAATACTTATCTAAGAGAAAAAAACTGACCACAAATGCTACCAAGGGTCAAATCACCCCGAAGACAAAGAAATTTTCGAAATGAAACATGATGCACTTATTGCAAGACAAAAAGGCATATAGTTAATAAATGTCCCAAAGTGAAAGTGTTAGAAAAATGGTATGCCATTTTATCTGAGATCCTTACCGATAAACAAGCGGCTAAGTTCCAAGAAATTGTAGATGAAGTCTTCAGAAATAATTATATCGACGATACACAACTCCCTTTGACCTTGGAAATAATACTTGAAATATTAAAAGACCTCACTAATAATAGATGTATTGAAGAAATTCTGATTATATACTTACTGCCCTATATTCAAGTGACCCCAGCTTTGAAAAAGAAAAGTCAAATAGCTCACACTATAAAAGCTTCTTCAACCAGGCCCCAATGAAAAAGATCGATAAGAACCAACGCTTTTGACGCTTATTGTATCCAAGAAAGCCAAGAAAAAGAACTCTTAAAAAGTATCAAGCTTGCTCCTGGAAAAAGAATGACTAACAATGAATATAATAGTGATGAAAAGAAATCCTTCAAAAGTTATCAACGATCGGAAAGGAATATAAAAGCTAAAACCCACCTTAAAAGAGGCAAATCATCGAAACGAAGCTTGAATTATACTAGAGACAACTTGAATAGCCAATGTGATCTTGGATTTTGCTGTCAAAATGAAATTAGCATCGAAAAGAAAGAACTTAAGGCATTCCCTTATTATCAAAGACTAGCGAAAGTATGCCATATTGACAGATTATATGGCCTTGAAAACTGTAATCAAAATGGAGTTAGAGTTAGAATAGACAATCATAAGGCATTCAATTATTATCGAAAAGTTGCAGAGATAAAACAAACTGATGAATCCTATACTATTGATGCTCGTTATGAAGAAGGAGTCGAAGCCCAAGAAGGTAAACGTAAGGCACATACCCACTATCAAGAATCTACAGGCAAAAATGGTGCTGATAAGATAACTGACCTTGGATGTTGCTATGAACATAAATCTGAAGATAAAAAGATTGAATACAAGACATCTAGTCATTGTAAAAAATCTACTAACCTCGATCCAGCAAATATGATGAGCTCTTATTATGAAAATGAAATTGGAATTAAAAAAGATGAATATAAGAAACTTGAAGTTTATAATGATGATGAGACAGGAAGTATTGATGAAACTTATCCGGATAGACACCATTATGAAGAGGAAACTGGAGCTCAAAAATATAAAAATGAAATTGAAGCTAAAAAAGATAAATACAAGGCATTTACTTATTACCAAGAAGTTGATAAGATCGGAGAGAAAGCTTTGGATTATCGAAAATCTGCTGAAATAGAACATGTAGATGGAACTGAAGTTAAAAACAACTGTTATAAGATATTCAATGGCCATCAAGAGCTATGAAAGGCAGGAGAAACATTTCAAGCCGACCTTAAAAGTTTAAATGGAATAAGCATGGAAGCAAATAAAGAAATCTTTAAATTGGACGAAGAATCTGAAAACACCGACGATAATGATGATAATGATGAGATTTGGCATCCTTGTAATGACGAAATCCCTGAAGATTGGTTGGGCCCAAACAACCGTAGAAATACCAAAAAGAAAGTTCTAATAAGCTGCAAAAAATTTGCCGAAATAGGTAGTACTGTTGTGATCAAAGCTAAAAAAAATGAACCAAATGAGCAATATAATCTTGGTCTCTATTATCGAAATAGCACTGGTATAGCTAAAGAAAAAATAAATAACGAGAAGAGTGCCAAGATTATTTTTGGATGGTACAAAAATCGAAGAAGATGTGTTAAAGACAAAAGGGTATGTATTACCCAAATATTCAAAAAAAAAGCAAAACCAAGAATAATCGGAAAATCAAGACCTCGATTAGACAAAAAAGAAAAAGAACTAACAATTTGGTTAAAACTAGAGTTACTTTGTTTTACCTCAGTATCAACTTACTGCTAAATATGCTATTAGTAACAAAGAGTAAAACTATGACATTAGTGTATGATCAAGGATCAGCTGATATGAGAAATACTAATGGAATGTATATAGTTGGAAAGAGCGAAAACAGAGAAATCAATGATTACCAGAAGTTTGCTAATATGAAAATTAGCAACAGAATATATGCTATTAGATATTGGTATCAGTCTAGAATCAGAGACAAAATAGTAGAATATAAGTTATTGATTTCTTATAAGGAATCTAGACCAAAGCAATATAAAGGTGGAATTGAAATAGACAAAAATGGGTTAAATATTTATCGTAAAAAGTCCAGTAAATGATATATGCTAATGAAGTATATAAAATTAGCTATTATCATCAATATGGAATTAGAGTTGAAAAAGATGGAAGCCTAGCATTCATGTATTATCAAAAATCAGCCATCATAAATAATTCTAACGAAATCTATTAAGTGAGCTGTCGCTATAACTTCAGAATTGGCGTTGAAATCGATAATCATAAAGCATCTACATATTTTTTGAGGTCTGCTGATAAGGGAAATTCTAATAGAATATATCAAATCAGAAATTGTTATTTCTATGGAATCGGAATTGAAGTCTCAGCAACAAAGAGAAGTTCACCTGGAACATTAATGCTTGGATATTGTTATGAATATGGAATTGGAGTCAAAAAAGATGAAAACATGGCATTCACACATTGTCAAAAATCGGTCGACCTAAATAATTCAAACAGAATTGTTATGCATAATGTTGCCCTATACTATCGAAATGGTATCAGCACAAAAAGATATATTCCGAAGACAAATCATTGGATTGGAAAATGTAGAAGCCTTTTGAAGACTAGAAAATCATCAAATCATATCAATCCCAAACTTAAGAAAATATTAGTCGATAAAAGATTTAAATTATCTTGGATCAACTATAACGAGTTCAAAAATGCCATAGAATTGGAAAAGGGTGGATTTGCAATTGTATATTATGCACATTGGCTTGATAGAATTAATGGCGCATGCAATGTTATACTTAAAGCAATTTGTGATTCAACCAAAAATGAGCAAGAATTTATCCAAGAATTGAAGAATTATTGTAAAGATAAAGTATCACAATTGGTACGAAAAGAATAAAAATCGAATATTCGGCAATTATCAGTAGATCAAGGCCTAAAAATCTAGAACCCGATGGTTACATTAAATTAGCTATGAAATGTATGGATAAAGAAATTAATAAACGATTTATGGTAATAGAAACCAAGAACTGGAAACCAACTCAAGAAATAAGATGAATTCTGAAATTGAAGAAAGGAAGAAAAATCGAATTATGCGAGAAATAGAAAAATTGATGTGAAGAAAAGAGAAGAGTTAATTAGTATCGGAAACAAGAAAATGAACATGACGAAAGAAAGAATGGCGGGTCATGACAGTTATGTGCGAGGACGAGTTAATAGATAATGAATAGTAGAAGAAATAGAATGGATGGAAAGAAGGAAGGAAACGTTTGCATTACCTGCTGGATGAGACTTTAGAGAAGCCCCAGAGAAATGTCAAAGTGTATCTGTGACAAATCCAACACAGAATTGGATATTGTTATCAAAATGGAATTGGTATTGAAAAAGATGAACAAGAAGTACTACGATAAGAAGACTTACCCTAAGTATTGATATATGAAGAAGAAATCCGACATAAATCAAATTCTGCCTAGGTAGTCAGTGGCCTAGCATCTGGATATTTGAAAAGAAGCTTTTAAGAATGTATATGGAGGCTTGAATATTCTCACATGTAAAAGATCTGCTGCGGGCTTAGCGAACCTAGTAGATTTGGCACATTCTGTGTATTTCGAACATTTTGAACACTTCGTTTAATACTGAGGAGGCTCAGGTCAATTTCTACCCTCTTTTGTTAGTATAGGTTGAAGAATTGAACTTTTGAACTTTTTGAATTTTCTAAACCCAAATGCCTTCAGGATTAAGCGTATCCTTTGTTAAAGCCTCAAGAATTTTCCCAAGGACGAAATATATAAATAGAGCAGAAAAAAAAAAAAAAGAAAGAAGTAAAATCTATATTCGAAAATGACCACTATCAAAGAAATAATCCACCAAGACCTCTTATCAACTACTCCAACATATGTAGTAGCTAAGCCCCACCCTTACGATGAAAGCCAAGACTTGATCACCCAAATAGAACTTATTAGCAATCAAATGACAGAAGCCAAAAATCATGGAGATCAAATTGGCATCCTTGTTTATACCTTTTACCTTGGTGAACACTTAAACATTGTCCCCCCCAGCTAACAGAGCCTTACTGCAAAGGACACAACTATCTGCCTATTATATGTTGGTGGCAAAACAAATCTATTATTTGTTCAGACTCTTGGGGTTGAACAGCTTTATCAAACCAACCATACTACTCTTATATGAATCAAAAAGCTATCGATCAATGATTATAACCAGCTACTTAATATTGTTTCTGTGGAACGAGTTATTTAAGCGGAGGAAAATTGTGAGAGGCAAGATCGACCTCTAAGTTCTATTTTTAGCATTTAGATCTATTTTGGGAGTTAAGGGTAATACAAATTCCTGGAATTCCCAGAATTCCTGGTATTCGGGGAATTCATGGGATTTGAAGAATGATGGGAATTACAAGAATTCATAGAATAACTAGAATAGCAAGAATAGTTGGAATTCCTAGAATTCCTAGAATTCTGTTATATGTAACGATTAATTATATATAGAAGTAGTTTCCCTTCAAAATAAAGATAACTCACTAGAGTTTAACTCAATGAAGAGTCTATTATCTATCCTTAATATTTTACATATTATACACATTCGTTTTCCCAATCCTCGATAATAAACTATCATATAAATCCCATTATCCTGAATTAGAGCCTCGTGACGTAGTCTAGAGCTTTATTTGGTCCTAATAACTTGGACCAAGTCTTTCCACGCCTCTTTTGTGCCTTCTATTATTAGGTCCAGTAGAATTTAGTAGTTACAGAGTGTTGATTTGGATTAGTTAGTGTCGATTGATATCTGTGTTGACTATATTTTAAGGTTCTGAATTAGTCCACACCTTTACAACGTACGTACGTATATTATTGAAATATTGAAACTGATACAGGTATGCTTCTAGAAATAACAGCACCTTAGCACTAGCTAGTAGTTTCCTGCTGAGTGAAATAGTAATGGTGCAAAAAATTGGCGGCCTGTAATTTTTATTGTAAGATTAGCGTATAATATACAAATGTGAAGGAAAAAAAATAAAGATGAAAAAAAAATAGAAATTGCAAAAAACTCATAAATTCACAAAGGAAATTGGTATTGTTATTATGTAAAAGTTTTCAGCACAAAAATTTAGAAATATTCTTTCTACATTGTAATAATACAAATATTAATATTTGGACAAGAATTTATATCATTGTTATTGAATTAGTCACGGGACTGCCAATTTTCACGCTATCACTATTTCACACTTTCTTGCTTGTATAATGCAGACTGGCTATTACAGCTGTTCTTATAAATTTTGGAACATCTGGTAAAAGATTGACCAAATGATTATTTGGCTATTTTAATAAGTTTTTGATCCGGCATTAATTTGTAATTGCAATAATGATATATTTTTTTTATGAATTATTCTAAAATGTCAACATATCCAAAATTAAGATTTCTTTTGAATACATGTCCGTTCTTGCCAACCAACAAATCTTGACAAAAAATATAAAAAGGGTTCTAAATATAAGATAAGCTTTCATAATAAATATATTACTAAAAGAGATGCTAATAAAAAACTTTCATTTCTATATTTATTAATATCAATATACATTTTCTGTTATTAGCAAGATATGCATATTATTATACAATCGTTCATAGCCAAAATCAAAAACTTATCGAATTGGCCAAACAATTATTCGGTCTAGATGTCCCAAAATTTATAAGAATAGCTATAATATGAACATATAGGACTGTTGTAGTAGAAAGGGCTGAAACTCGAAAATATATAATTTTGAGAAAATCGTGTTTACTTTTTTGGGCTAATCCGGGTTAATTAAAAATTATGCGATTTGATTGGCTGGCTATATTAGATAATCTTGTGACATACAAGTATTCTAAAAAGTTTTTTTAAAATATCTTGATTTTTTATTATGCAAACCAATTTCCATTTTTAATTGAAAA